TCAAAAATTATTTTTAATGATCTGTCAGCTGACAACTCAAATCCTTTCAATTTTGTGGAAAGTGAAGAATTGTAAACTACTTGACTGGCAAAATAAGTCAGATCATTAGTTACTCACTTTACTTTTTCTGGGAAACATGCTATAAAAAAATACTTTACCAGGACTTTTCTAATGACCATTAAATATTCTTGTTCCTGGGCGCCTGAGTGGCTCAGTAGGTTAAGCATCCAGCTCTTGGTTTTGGCTCAGGTCGTGATCTCAGGGTTGTGAGTTTGAACCCCACATCAGGCTCTGCGCTGAGCATGGAGCCTGCTGGAAAATCTCTCTCCGTCTGCCTCTCCCCCACCAATTAATCAATCAGTCAATCAGTCAGTATTCTTGTTCCTCTTTCACTGAAATGCATCTTGTATCCTTTACATTCAGAAGAGTTGGGGAAATCAAAATGCTGTTAGTTTCAGTACACTTTGCTGAAACATTTTTAACATTATATATAATTTATATTATATAACAAATATAATTGATATTTTATATTAATATATAATTAATATATTATTACTACATTACATATTATAAATCTAAGGTATTTTTATTGTGGGATATGCTTTTAAATAATAGTTTTATCAAAATTTTGTGGCTACCAGTTAGCTCTTTCAAATACTGGGACGTGACTTCTATATAACTTGGTTGGCCAAGCCAGCGTTTGTTGCCAAACCCATCACCTAAATTAAACTTACTTTCATTTATTTAAAAGGAAAATTCTGACTTTCTCAATCCACGTAAACTGTGTGGTACACATCCCCATGACAACTATCTCAGTTTCAGAAGCAACAAGAGCTGAGCACAAATTGATTCCATTTCCTGACACATCACTTAAAATGACATATGAGTTTGACACCCTAGACCTAATCATAGTTACCATGTTAATGTCAACTGATAAAGTGCTCCCTAAGTGAAGATACCGTGGAGTCTCAAGCTTTTTTAAAAATAAGATCTTTATTGAGATACAATTTGGGTGCCTGGCTCGCTTAGTCGGTTGATTGAGACCCTTGATCTCCAGGTGGTGAGTTTGAGCCCCACATTGGGCATGAGCCTACTTAAAAAAAAAAAGAGAGAGAGAGGGAGATAAATGACACATCATAAAATTCAACCATTTAAAGGTTAGCATTCAGGGGTTTTTTTGTCTTCACAGAGTTATCCAGCCATCCCCCAAATCTAAGCATAGAACATTTTCATCACCCCAGAAAGAAACCTGGTACTCGTTCATGGTCCCTCCCCATGTTCCCCTTCTCCTGTGTGCCCATCGGCTTTTCCCGAGCACAGTCTTCTCACGGCTTATCCCTGTGGCTGCATGTATCGGTACCGGGTTCCTTAAGGCTGAATAATCTTCCATTGTATGGGCATTCCGTGTTTATTTATATATTCGTCAATTGATGGGACCTGTCTCTGGCTAGAATATTTGGTAATTCCAGGGGCACCTGGGTGGCTCAGTTGTTAAGCGTCTGCCTTCAGCTCAGATCATGATCCCAGGGTCCCAGGATCGAGCCCCGCATCAGGCTTCCTGCTCAGCCGGAAGCATGCTTCTCCCTCTCCCACTCTCCCTGCTTATGTTTTTATCTTAAAAGAAAAATATTTGATAATTCCAAACATCCTATTTTCCAACAGAACAGGTAAGACAAACTCTAAGCAACTGCTGACATTCTCAACGTAGCAAACTGTGTACAACCTGGTCCATGTGCTGGGGTTCAGTGGGCCTTTTGTAGTGGAGAGATCTGTTGTGGTTTTGAGTTTGAGATCGGTAATTTTATTTCCTAATGTCATGTCATTTTATTATTTTTAGTAATTTGTTTGACTAAGGTAATTAGGTAACATTTCTAAGGTGGTTTTTTTAAAGATTTTATTTATTTATGTGCCAGAGAGAGAGAGAGAACGCGCGCACACAAGCATGGGGAGCAGCAGGCAGAGGGAGAAGCCGACTCCCGGTTGACCAAGGAGCCTGATGTGGGACTCGATCCTAGGACCCTGGGATCATTACCTGAGCTGAAGGCAGAAGCTTAACTGACTGAGCCACCCAGGCATCCCTAAGGTTTTTTGTTTTTTTTTTTTTAATTATGACACAAATATTAGAAATTTTTCAGATGATGTGTCAGTTTTTGATAACTGCTTTATTGAGATGTAATCCATGTACCATACAATTCACCTGTTTAAAGGGTACAGTTCAGTGGGCTTTAGTGAGTTGTGTGACCATCACCACAATCAATTTTGGAATGTCTTCCTCACTCTGCAAAAACACCCACGTCCAGTAGTAGTCACTCCCCCTCCCCCACATGCCTGCCCGCAACCACTAGTCTGCCTTCTGTTTGTAGACTTGCCTGTTTTGGCTATCTCATACAAATGAAATCATCTTACCCATGGTCTTCTGTAACTGGCTTCTTCCACTTAACATGATGTTTTCAAAGTTTATTGCTGAATAATGTTCCATTGTATGGGTGTGGCCCATTTTATTTTTTAGTGAGTATCTAGGTGGTTTCCATTTGGGGCTATTATGACTAATGCTGAAATATATGTTCACATACAGGGTTTTGTGTGGACCTCCTCCTTCCCTTCTTGTGGGCATTCACATAGGAGTGGAAGTGCGTACTTGTTGGGTGACTGTTTTTCACCTTCCGCTGAACTGCCAGGTGTTTCCAAAGGAGCCATACTGTTTCCCATCCCCACGAGCAGAGTCGTGGGTTCTTATGCTACCTGCACTTGTTGTGGTCTCCTTTTTGACCCAGACCTTTTTTTTTTTTTTTTAAACACATAAGACATTGTTCTGAAATTAAAACATGATGTAAAAGGTAGGGAAAGGTAACAGGCCATTCTTGTCTATAGTCATTTCAGTGTTCACATGGGTAGGGAGACTCATGCACCATTCCCAACCTAAGCCCAAAGTAACTCAACTGATTTTTAAGACCAGCTACATCAGGGCGCCTGGGTGGCTCAGTCGTTAAGCGTCTGCCTTTGGCTCAGGTCATGATCACAGGGTCCTGGGATCGAGCCCTGCATTGGACTCCCTGCTCAGTGGAAAGCCTGCTTCTCCCTTTCCCACTCCGTCTGCTTGTGTTCCCTCTCTCGCTCTGTCTCTCTCTGTCAAATAAATAAAATCTTTAAAAAAAAAAAAGACCATCTACATCATTTGTATACCTGGGCAGTTCTTTTTATGCCATCATCCTGTCAGGACTGTAGTTTCTTTTGCTGCAACAGTGATTGTAAATAATTGACTGAGAACGATTGATGGAAATAGTCCATAGACGGATCAGTCTTTTATCTACTGCCTTTTCTTGCCACAATTCGCTACGTGTTCCTCTGCCATTTCCAGCCCTAGAAGAGAGCTCTCAGTGTTTTGTGCATATAAATAGCATAAGAGGGATGGTTTCAAAGTGTTGGTTAGCAGACATCTCACAAGACTCTTAGAGCAAGGAGTCCTGTGTTGGTGCTCGTAGCGGGTTTTTATGAGGCCGGCCAGCAACGCGGAGTGATGGAGAGGTCAGAGGTCAGAGTGAGGTCCTCACAAAGACCAGTGCGCTCCCCGCACTCGGCAAGAACATGACCAGAGCCTGTTGCGTGGCCTTCTGACTTGCGTCGCAGTCCATTCACACGGACGCTGCCCTCCACACACAAGGCATTCTTCTGTCCTCAAACCAAATGAGTGTATCCTGCCGCTGGCAGCAAACCTGGACCCAACCAGCTTGGATTCAGGGACAAAGACAGAAAGCAAGTTGTTTTAGTCCCCATCGTACTTCCCTCTGATCCCCAGCCCCTGTCTGTAGGCATCCTCCTTAACCATGGGTTATTATGGTTACGGTCTCTTTCTTTTCTTCCATCAACGCAGGCACGGACATGTCTTTATGCCCTGACCTTAACTGTTACCTCTCCTTTCTGTGGAGATGTCAGAGCCAGGGGTTGGGAGGGGGGTCTTTGCAGGGCCAAGGACCCTGTAACAATCCCCTCACCTTTCTTTAGGTGTTTTTTGCTTTGTTTTAATTTTATTTATTTATTTATTTATTTATTTATTTGACAGAGAGAGGGAGCACAAGCAGGGGGAGCTGCAGGCAGAGGGAGAAGCAGGCTTTCTGCTGTGTGGGGAGCCCAATGCAGGACTGGATCCCAGGACCCTGAGAGCATGACCTGAGCTAAAGGCAGACGCTTAACCAACCGAGCCACCCAGACGCCCATATTTAGTTTTAAAAGCCTAGATAGAAAAATGTGGGTGGAATGGTAACAGCAGAGGCCAGAATGAAGGTGCCAAGAATCGAAATTGGATGTGTGGTTAGTTGGTTGGGGGTGTAAGTGTCTTCTGAGAAACCTAATACTGGAGGGAAGGAAAGAGGTGAGGTGCCGGCCGCAGTGGAAGAGACTGAAACACAAGAGACGAAGGAATGGGGAAAAGCTCCCTAAGGAAGCGGGAGGGAGGAAGAGGGCCAGCCAGAGCAGACGGCCTGCAGAAGAGGAGCACGTCCATCTCCGAGTCAGCCACATCCCCTCTGGGGCACAAAGCAGAGGACAGTGACCCATGATGTGGGTGTGTGTGCTAGCTCCCACTAGCACCCTGCCATCAGCTCCTCACGTACGCAGTCAAAACTTGGGGACACCGATAGCCTGAAATGTGTGTTTTCTCTGATTTTCTCAATCTTTGGAATGTTTTTTCTGTCTCTGCTTGTCAACCTCATCCTGGCGACTCTGCTTCCGACTCACCTGTCTTTCTGCACATTCTCTTCTACAGCCCTCCTGACTCCTTGTCATCTCGTCCATACACATTTGCTCCTTATCCCCATTCTGTCCACGAGCCCTTCACCTGACTTCCGTTCTGGGGTTCTGATAGGCAAGCTGCCAGTGACCGTGTTCAGCTTGGGATGGCTTGGTAATTAGGTTGGCAAAGTGGAAAAGCAGTTTTCAATGTGTGAAGGTGGCTAAAACTATATTTTCTTATAATAACAAAATTTTATGTTTGGGACTTCTAGGTTCAGCATGAGCTTTAATAGACATAATCTGAAATACTACGTGTTACCGAAAAAACCCAAGAAGGTGGCATTTGATTGCTTAGAATGGATCAGAAAGCATCACCCACGTGAGTACAGCCATGTGACAGATTATGTCTAGAAGTAATAAATGTCTTTTTAGTACCACAATAGAATATATCAGTGTGCATATTAAACATTCCTTGTTATAATAGCACTAACTAGCTATTTATAGAACAGAATATTGCAACTCTCTCAATCCTGGAAATTATAAAATCACATTTGGTTTGATAACAATAAACCCTAAGAAAAAAGTATATGAAATATTCCCTCCTACACACCCGTGTTATACTTCACGATTTCAGTGTCTCTCCTCTGGCTTCTGTTGGTATGAATTATACCGCTTTCTGTGTTAGGGCCTTCTCCCAAGAGTGCCTCTGAGTTCTGTTAACTAAAATGAGATCCTGAAATGCCTGGTGGTTTTCCACGTAACCCCTTTTCTTCTTCCCCATAGAGAGGTGTTTCTGTTAACCAAGTTAACCACCTCTGTTTCATTTTTTAAAAACTAGTATACAGGTAGTGGGTTAAAGCCTCTGCCTTCGGCTCAGGTCATGATCCCAGGGTCCTGGGATCGAGCCCCACATCGGGCTCTCTGCTCTGCAGGGAGCCTGCTTCCTCCTCTCTCTCTCTCTCTCTGCCTGCCTCTCTGCCTACTTGTGATCTCTGTCTGTCAAATAAATAAATAAATAATCTTTAAAAAAAATGTAAAAAAAAAACAACAACTAGTATACATGTTTGTGGGGCGCCTGGCTGGCTCCGTCGGAGCAAGTAACTCAAGATCTTGGGGTTGTGAGTTTGAGCCCCACGCTGGGTGTGAAAATCACTTTTTTTTTTTTTTTTTTTTTTAAGATTTACTTATTTGAGAGAGAGCACAAGCAGAGGGGAGGAGGGAGGCAGAGGGAGAAGCAGGCTGCCTGCTGAGCAGGGAGTGCAATGTAGGGCTTGTTCCCAGGACCCTGGCATTGTGACCTGAACCAAAGGCAAACGTTTAACCAACTGAGCTACCCAGGTGCCCTAGAGAGCACATTTTTAAAAAGTCTTAAAAAAATGAGTATATATATTTGAACAAATCAAACGATGATGGGGGATAGACCAAGAAGTCATCCACAATCTCCCTCCTAAGCCTCCTCCCAGGCAGAGAACGTAGATGGTTAGCATGTCTGTCTATACCTTTGGCTCTGCCGCGAGCAAGGACTTTTTCTTTCATACCTTTCATTTTGTGATTCTCATAAAAGTACACATAACACGTGCTCACAAAGAAAACCGAGAAAGCAACAAGAAGAAAGAAGCAAAAGATAAACCTTACTTCCAGACAAGTCACCATTACCGTTAGGGGTTTATTTCCTTCCAGCAATTGTGTGCATTTTTCTTTCCATTAGCATACTGTGTCTACAGTTTTTCTACCCTTAACCTGTTTTTTATATCTTGAGCATTTTCATGGGTTTTTAAAAGAATTTGGAAATCACTTAAAAAGTTTCAGTATATCTTATTTCATAATTCCTTTGCTAATTTCCTAATGTTGTCCATTAAGATTTTTCTAATTTTCAAAAGGAGAAACAAAACTATTCGTAGAAGTCCTGTACCACTTTATTTCCTAGATTAGTTTCCTAGAAAGAAACTGAATCAAAAGCTAGGAGAATTTGGGGCGCCTGGGTGGCTCAGTGGGTTAAAGCCTCTGCCTTCAGCTCAGGTCATGATCCCAGGGACCTGGGATCGAGCCCCACATCAGGCTCTCTGCTCGGCGGGGAGCCTGCTTCCCCCTCTCTCTCTGCCTGTCTCTCTGCCTACTTGTGATCTCTGTCAAATAAATAAATAAAATCTTTAAAAAAAAAAAAAAAGGCTAGGAGAATTTGTAAGACTGATACATACTGCTACACGCTTTCCGCAGCGTTTGTGTAAGGTGCCCGCCCATTTTATAGCCCATGTGAAGTAGAGCCCAGGCTTCCTGCAGGTCCACCCCAGGAGTCATTCGGGGGACAGAACAAAAGGTCACGTCTTGTGGTTTCTAGTACACATGAGCTCCTTGCTTGAATTACTCTACCTGTGTGACCCCGCCCCATTATAAGTAGACTGTGAAGATCTGCTTATGGTTTGTGTATTTCTAAGAACATAATGAGGGCACCTGGGTGGCTCAGTTGGTTGAGCATCCCACTCTTGGATCTCAGTTTGGCACTTGATCTCAGGGCCGTGGGTTTGAGCCCCGCCCTGGGCTCCACACTGGATGTGGAGTCTACTTTAAAAAAAAAAAAAAAAGAAGAAGAACATAATGAAAATTGTGTTTTATTTATGTTAAAGGCTCTCATGTCTCAATACCATTTTGGTTTCTTGGCAGATGACTCTGGGATAATCTACTGCCTCTCTAGGCGGGAATGTGACACCATGGCGGACACTTTACAGAAAGATGGTCTCGCTGCTCTTGCATATCACGCTGGCCTCAGTGACTCTGCCAGGGATGAAGTACAGCACAAGTGGGTTAATCAGGACGGCTGCCAGGTAACGTTTTTGGAATAAACAAAGGAAGTCATCTTTTTTCGTATATGAACAAACTTGCACATGCCAGTTGAGAACTGTTTTTACTTTAAAGACAGCAAACATCAAAATAAGACTGAAATTTAAAAACAGATCATTTTGAGGCTTTTTTAAGTTGCTTTTTCTTTCTTAAAAAAAAAAATTTTTTTTTATTTAGTTGTAATTTATATACCGTAAAATTCACCCTTTCAGAGTTTACAAGTCAGTGGTTTTTGGTGTATTCACAAGGTTGTGCAAGCTTCACCACTGTCTAATTCCAGAATATTTCATCATCCCAAAATGAAACTCCGTACGATTTAGCAGCCACTCCCCAGTCCCCGGCAGCCACTAGTGGAACCACTGCTAATCTGTCTGTATAGATTTTCCTGTTCTGGGCATTTGGTATAAATGAAATGATACATTATGGTTTCTTTTGTGACTCATTTCTCTTACTTAGCATAATGTTTTCAAGACATTGTGTATCTTGTTGTAGCATGTATCAGTCCTTCATTTATCTTTGTGCTCCAGATAGCATTGCATGGTATGGCTGTATCCTTGTTTGTTACCCATTCATCAGTTGGTAGACATAGAGTTGTACCCGCTTTCTGGCTATTGGGAATAATGCTTCTGTGAACATCTGTGTACATGTGTTTGTATGAACATGTTTTCAGTTCTCTCAGATAGATACCTAAGAGTGGAATTGCTTAGTCATATGGTAACTCTCTGTTTAACTTTTTGAGGAGCTACCAAACTGTTTTCCAAAGCAGCTACAGAATTTTACGTTTCTACCAGTGATGTAGGAGGTTCCAATGTGTCTGTCTTATTTCTACTTTTTATTTTATTTTACTTTATTTTTTTACTATATCTATCCTGGGGGATGTGAAGTGACATCTCATTGTGATTTTAATTTGCATTTCCCTAATAACTAATTGAGTTGAGATTTCTGAGATTATAGATTTGTCACCCACATGGATCAAGAGGGAGGAAGCTAAGAACACTCTAGGCGTCCTGTACGGTGACAGGTGCCAGTGTTGGATAGATCTCTCTAAATACAAGGATGAATTTGAGAAAAACAGCTAATAACTTTTTTTTAGCCTGTGAAGTTTTCAATTCCCAAAAAGAGAAATTATCCCAAAAATTCAAGGGAAAAATATCTCTCAAAATTATTTTGTAACAAAAAACAGGAGAAAATCTTAGAGGATATTAGCCTACTGTCCTTGGAAAAGTGTCAGAATACTCAGCATATATGAACTAGAAGTACTTTGCCATAAGAAGATCACAGGCTAAGAAGAAGGCACAAATTTTTTTTTTAAATGCAGTTTATCTAGATAAGAAAATGCACAAAAGGCAAAAAACAAGTAGAATCATTATCAAGACACAAATGGTTCAACTCGGTACAGACATCTGCATCAGTGAGGTAGTGAGTAACTTGAAAATGTCAGCCTAAGAATAATCATTGTATCCAAGAAAGAAACGAGGACGGCTGAAGCAGATACAGTAGTCTGATGTGTTCCAAATGAATCCATAACAAATATTTAACAAATTTAAAAGCATTATCTCAGAGTCACTGGGGGAAAACATACATGTGGACATAGTTCACCACTTTGTTTGGTTTACGGAGAGCTGAGAGAAATGATCCGCACAAAGATACAGAGGTAGGGTGCTCTATAAAAAGCAGGCAGGTCTGAGACCGTCTGATTAAATAGTAAAAGCAGGAACACACTGTCTTCAGAATCAAAGGAGGAAAGCTTGGGATTGAAGGATTCACAGCCAGCTCATTGTCACAGATGTTGGGCACAACAGAGAGGCACTTTCAGATAGATCACATCCAGAAATGTATCACCAGCGTATCTTGAGTCAAGTAATCACAGATGCCAGTCTTCACTAATTTGTATATTGCACGAAGCAAAATTCCAGTGTGGTTTTTTTTTTCCTTTGATAAACTTTTTCTAAAGTTTGCCTGGAAGAATATTCATGTTAAAGTAACTGAACAAATTTGGGAGGAAAATGAAAACACATGAACACTGGCTTTGCAGTCCATTACAGGCAGATCAGTGACACAGAAATCCAGAACTCGACAGGAAGACATGTAAAAGGGAGTACCTGGTTGGCACAGTCGAGCATCCAACTCTTGGGTTTCTTGATCATGAGATCAAGCCCCAAATAGGGCTCCATACACAGGGCGGAGTCTGCTTGAGAGTCTCCTGAAATAAATAAATAAATCTTTTAAAAAATAAAAAAGGTAAAAACAATATGTGGCAAGGATGATGTTGAAAAATAATGAGGAAAGGAGGATGATCCAACTAGTGGTACGCTTACCTGCTGGGGGGGAATCGTTTTGGATCCTCCTATCAAAATGAATCACAGGTAAATAAAAATATTGGTATTTTTAAATGTATGAACTCTGGCTGGAAGAGAGCCTAAGCTTAAAAAGAGCTCGAAAGATTAAAAATCTAAATAACTAAACACTTCTGTGTCGAACAAAATTAAAGGCAATAGCAAAGAACAAACAACTAAGGAAATAATGTCTTCTGCAAATAAAATATCCCAAAACTTCAATGAGAAAAACATAAGTCTCAAATAGTAAATTACCCCAGGCTATCAAGAGACGTCGAAAAGAAGGAGCCACAAAAGGTTAAGTAGAATTGTTTTTCACTGTGCAACTCTGCTAATTATTAAAGGAATCCAAACAAATTAGTGAGAGACCATTTTCACCTCTGTATTAGCAAACTTTTATTAACTGTGGGGGACAGTGCTCTAAGAGATGATTTCCTGCAATGCTCCTGAGAGCCTTTCTGGAAAAGAATATGGCAGACTGTTCCAGGAGCCTCAGATCTGAAACGCGTGCGTGGAATTTACATCAGTGTTTGTATGAGTTTTGGGGCTTTTTATAATTGAAGTATACCTGGTGTATACAATATTATGTTACTTTCAGGTATACAGCAGAGTGACCTGACAACTCTGCATTATGAAATGCCTGCCATAATTGTACCAATCACTTAGAACCATACGAAGTAATTACAGTGTCATTGACTGTATGATAGCGTTATCTTTTTTTTTTTTTAAGATTTTATTTATTCATTTGAAAGAGACAACGAGAGAGGGAACACAGCAGGAGGAATAGGAGAGGGAGAAGAAGCAGGCTTCCCGCTGAGCAGGGAGCCTAATGTGGGGCTCGATCCCAGGACCCCAGGATCGTGATCTGAGCTAAAGGCAGAGGCTTAATCATTGAGCCCCCCCAGGTGCCCTGATAGCGTTATTCTTAATAGTAAGTAGCCTGAATGTCCTGAGAGAGTGACTGGGTGCATTATAGTGAATTCCTGGCGTTGAAATGGTTTATGGGGCTCCTGGGTGGCTCAGTGGGTTAAAGCCTCTGCCTTTGGCTCCCGTTATGATCCCAGGGTCCTGGGATCCAGCCCCGAGTTGGGCTCTCTGCTCAGCGGGGAGCCTGCTTCCTCCTCTCTCTGCCTACCTCTCTGCCTACTTGTGATCTCTGTCAAATAAATAAAATATTAAAAAAAAAAAAAAGAAGAAGAAAGAAAGAAAATGGGTTTATGAAGCGGGTGCCTGAGTGGCTCAGTTGGTTAACCCTCTCTCTGCCTTTGGCTCAGGTCATGATCCTGGAGTCCAGGAATCAAGCCCCACACTGGGCTCCTTGCTTAGTGGGAAGTCTGCATCTCCCTCTGACCCCCCTCTCGTACTTTCTCTCCACTCTCTCTCAAATAAGTAAATAAAATCTTTTTTTTTTTTTTTAGTAAATCTTAAAGAAAATGGTTTATGAAGATTTTTATAATGATATGAAAATGTTCAGATGCCAGGGATGAAGAAACATAGGGACAAATGAAACCTAAATGTGTGAAATCTCAGCTATAGAAAAGAAAATTGAGGGACACCTGGGTGGCTCAGTCAGTTAAGCCTCTGACTCTTGGTTTTGGCTCTCGGATCGTGATATGGGGTCTTGGGATCGAGCCCCACATTGGGCTCTGCGCTCAGTGCAGATACTCACTTTCTTTCCCTCCCCACTGCTTTCTCTAGCTCTCAAAAAAATACGTAAATCTTTAAAAAAATTTTTGAATAGAAAAATAGATGAGAAAAAAGGAAAAAAGCCAGTTCTTTTCAAGTTCTTTAAATCTTTACATATAGTATAAATGTTCTGAAATAGCCATGCACACATATATACATATCTGTATATATGTACATAAAACACTTTGATCAAAAATACAGTTTAAGAAAATGGGTGCGTTTTTGTTTCTGTTTTCAGACTGGCTAATCCTCACAGTCAAGGTGTAATTATACAGTCATCGGACAACCTTGATCTTGTTAGACTTGTAAGATAGACTAAAACCTCATTTTTTTTCTCCACAAAGACATTATAGTCTGAAGTTTCAAAAGCAACACAGAAATAAGGAAGTAACAGCTTGACTAAGCCAGTTTTCCCAGTGACACGAAGTAAAGGCTTTAAGAGGGGGTGTTGGCATTGGGGTCGCCTCACTTGGAGCCCGCACTCTGCACCCGAACAGGGGAGCCGCACCCGCACCCCAACTTCTTGGAACGCAGCAGGCCTGCTGGCTGCCTCACCTCCCCGCACAGCCTCTCCACCTGCTCTCCACCACTAGAGGCTCCAGGAGACTTTTTTTCCAAGGACACTTCCTTTCATCAAAGTGCCATAAATTTAGAGGGCTGATGAGGCCACAGCCATTCCCAGTGCCACCAAGCACGCTTGTTTGCTGGCCATGTTCTCCATGGCCTGCACTTGCCCACCCTGGTCCTCGGTCACCGAGACCATGTCCTCAGCCTCAGTCTGGCTGCCAGGTAGTTCCGCTGCTTTTGAAATACTGTTCTTGCTGCCGCTATTTATTTTCTTGAAGTGGAGGGGTCTTGCAGCTTTATTTCTATAATAAAGCTGGAGATGTAATGGTTTTGCCTGGGTTAATAAGTCCTATATTTGCAACTGAAATTGATATTCTTGAAAATGATTTTTTTTTTTTTACTAAAAGCGGATTTATGAAGCTCCTGAAATTTAACTGTCACCTTTCCTGTCCTAAGTAATTTGCATAGGCCAATACCGCAGTCTGCAGTATTTTTTGTAGTAGAAGCACCTCTCAGACTTTTACCCACGTGAGTTCCAATAAAAATTTCACAAGTTTTTCCTTTGAAATCAGCTGTTGAGGAAAAGGAGCCCGTGAGTGATCCGTCAGCTGCTCCCACTGGGAGCACAGATGGTAAGCACGGGGGTAGATGAGAATGCCATTGTCCCCAAAGCATCAGAAAAGCTGGCATTGGTGACATCTGGGAGCAAAAGCCCTGGGAACGCTCGTTTGTGACAGTGCCCCCATGCCTCCATATCAGCAACAGAAGAGAGCAAGCAGTGGCCATCCCCCCAAGACATGATGGCTCTTGACTGACCCCTTCCATGATGCCAGATCCCACGAGAAAGTGTCTGCCACCACGAGCTCCTCTTCACCTTCTCGGACTTTCCTAGGATTGCAGATTATCCATAGGAAGACCTCACATTAGTCATCCTCAATAATGGGACCAAGTTAAGATACTAGATTGCGGAATAGAGTACACTTTAAAGTAAAGCGGAGGATAGAGCTTTTCAAGGCGCCTGTTACTAAAATGTCCCTTTCCATCTATTCTGAGCCTAAGAGGCATGTGCTGTTTCCTCAGGTTATCTGTGCAACAATAGCATTCGGAATGGGGATCGACAAACCCGACGTGCGGTTCGTGATCCACGCATCTCTCCCTAAATCTGTGGAGGGCTACTACCAGGAGTCCGGCAGAGCTGGGAGAGATGGGGAGACGTCACACTGCCTGCTCTTCTACACCTACCACGACGTGACCCGGCTGAAGAGACTCATCCTGAGTAAGCCGAGCCCCGGGCCCTGCGGTCTCCCGGGAGCGTCTGCTGCTGGCTTTCTTTAAATAGTTATACGAGCGTTACACAGGCTTGTCATGTAAAACTCAAATGGTGTGGACGTGCATATGTAGACATGGACACAGTGGAAAATGTCCAGACCATGCCTTGCACGCAGTCTGGCCCTAGAAAGTCACTCCAGATCTTGGCTTCCCACGTAGCCTTCTAGATCCAACCTCTCCGTGCATGCTTGCGTGTAACTTGTATTTCAAACATGCAGAAACGAATGGGGAAAAGAACAAACCCTCACATACCACCAGGTTCAGAAATACCCCCCTCCCATATATCCCTCTCCTCCCTCAGCCATCCACTCGCCCATCAGAGAGAAGCAATATCCTGTATTTGGTGTTTATCCCTGCCAAATGCATATATTTTGCCATTTGTGCTTGGGATTATATTATATGTAGACATATAGTTTGTTTTCAGTCTACACTAGGATGTAATTAAGAATCCGACTGATATGTGTAGTTCGACTGCATAGCATTCCGTGTCTGTTTACCCGGTCCTCTTGGACGAGAGACCTTGACTGTTTGCTGTTCTGTGCGGTTATTAGCAGCGCGGTGCTGAGCACCTGTTGCACATATCTTTGGGCATTTGTGCCGCTGTCTGTCTAGGATAAATTTCCGGACCTAGACTTGCCAGGTTAAAGTGAATTCATATTCTAGAATCTTATTGTGCCCTTTGCCCATTTTTCTACTAAGTCGTGATAGTTAAGTACATTTCCTAAATAAATTTGCTATTTTGAGACCACTTCTGAATGGATCCTGCCACAGGCACTGTACATGGGGTATGACACTTAACCAGGCACTGTGCCGAATATCCGGTGACCTTTTGTGCCCGTCATCCCTGGTTTTCGAGATGGCGTTCACCCCATGGTGAAAGGGAGTTTCTTTAAGGTTTTGTAACTTGCCTCCAAGAGCTCTGCTGAGCAGCAGTAGTGGTAGGAGTGGGGGGCCAGGGGGAGTGCGGATCCGGTGGTAGATAAATGACGTTGTTAGCACCTACTGTATGCACTGTCTTAACTGCTTGATTACATCCCTTCATCCAGTCTTCACAACAGGCCTCACAGGTACTACTGTTACTGTCCTCATTTTACACAGGAGCACGGCAGATGTAGAGCCGGTAGGTCATGGAGCCCTGATGGGGCCCCGGTCTGTCTAACCTCCAAAGCCCATGTCCCTTGCACTCTACTAAGATGATTCTCAGTGAGAGCGCCTGGGTGGCTCAGTTAAGCCACTGTCTTCAGCTCAGGTCATGGTCCCAAGAGTCCTGGGATTGAGCCCCAAATCGGGCTCCTTGCTCAGCGGGGAGTCTGCTGCTCAATTAGACCCTGCCTCTCTCCCTCTCATGCTCACGCACACGTGCTCTTTCTCTCTCTCTCTCTCAAATAAATCTTTAAAAAAAATAATAAAGATGATTTTCAGTGAAAAAAGTGAGACTTTAAAACTTAGTGTGACATGGGGCACCTGGGTGGCTCAGTCATTAAGTGTCTGTCTTCGGCTCAGGTAATGATCCCAGGGTCCTCCTGCTTGGCGGGAGGCCTGCTTCTCCCTCTCCCACTCCCCCTGCTTGTGTTCCCTCTCTCACTGTGTCTCTTTCTGTCAAATACAATCTTCAAAAAAACCACAACAACTTAGCATGACCATTTGTGTTTTTAAACAGAGCCTATATTAAGTTAGATCCAAATAATTCAATAAGTATTTAAGTTTTAAACACTGAGCAACATAAAAAAAAAAGGAATACTCATAAGCTAGAAAAAAATTTTTATTTTCATTCTTAACGAACCTCAGATTGCTTACAAATGGAAAGTATGTGCATGTGATTCTCAAACCTTGAAATTAGATTAGACACTGCCACCCTTATTTCCTGTTTCACATGGATTTTTCTGGAGGTTCTTGTATTTATCACAGCAACTGCCAAAACTTCAGTTTCACAGAGATGGCATTGGAAGGAGTATAGGCAGCATGACCTCAGAGTGGCAGTTTGTATGGTGTTCAAATATTGCTGTGTTTCCCTTGAATTTAAAATACCCTGCCAGCACCCCCATGAGTTCACTGCAGCACCCCAGGGCTCCTTGGCACTTGGCTTTGGAACCGCTGGCATAACTGCTCTGATCCCAGGCACCAAGCGGGGGGTGGGTGCCTGGACCACTGCCATGGTTGCTTTGCTCTGCTGACTTTGAACGTCCAGCTGAGCCGGCGTGCTTGTCTGATAAATACAGTAAATTTGATTCAGATCTTCATCATTGGGAATCATGAAGATTTGGAAAATTTTTTCAGCTACTCCTGGTGACAGTCTTCATTTATTCCTATAAAACTAAAAATCTGAGGGATAAACATAAATACATGATTTGTCATAATATAGAATGATGTCGTATGGTATATGGTGCTATTAGTAATTTTATTTCAATTAGTATTTAAAGTTATATGAATCTATTCCAAATATTTCTGTGTTATTTTCTTGTTTTCCTACTCTAATAAGTATTTTTATTTTGTTCTTTACCTTTTTTAGTGGAAAAAGATGGAAACCATCATACCAGAGAGACTCACTTCAATAATTTGTACAGTATGGTGCATTACTGTGAAAATATAACAGAATGCAGGAGAATACAGCTTTTGGCTTACTTTGGTGAAAATGGATTTAATCCTGATTTTTGTAAGAAATACCCAGATGTTTCTTGTGATAACTGCTGCAAAACAAAGGTAAAATAAGAAAGTTTTAAGTTCCTTGTGATTCAGGAAATTGCCAAGACTTTAATTTGGCAAAGTTAGATACAAGTTAGGTTGGTTACCTTAAGTCGGCCCTCAGGGACTGAATCAGGGAAAGGTGGCTTCCTCCCCCTGGTAATTTGGAATAGAAACATTTAATAGTAATTCTGTGAAATAGCTTTTGAATTAGAAACCTATAAAAAATACCCTGGACCCATCCCAAATATTGAGGTTATATATGTGTACAATAGGATATTTTAGAAGTATCATTCATCTGTAAATATCCAAAAAGATCCAACATAGGCAGGAGAATATTTAGATTCAAATCCCAATATATATTTGAAGTTCTCATTCTGAAGAATTATAATAACTATAGTATACTATGTGTTTGAATCAGGTCAATTACGTTATACTATAAATTGGTTGTTTAAAAACTATGAAGAATTGGGGCACCTGGGTGGCTCAGTGGGTTAAAGCCTCTGCCTTCAGCTCAGGTCATGATCCCAGGGTCCTAGGATCGAGCCCCGCATCAGGCTTTCTGCTCAGCAGGGAGCCTGCTTCCACCTCTCTTTCTCTGCCTGCCTCTCTGCCTACTTGTGATCTCTGTCTGTCAAATAAATAAATAAAATCTTTAAAAAAAAAAAAAAAACTATGAAGAATTAATGGCAATTCGTCTGCCCTAAAAATAACCGTGAGAAGTTAAATTCAGTCATTAGTTACTTAATTTTACCTCTCATGGTAATTCTGTGTTCTAATGTCTCTGTCCTTTACAGTTTACAGAGCATTTTCATATTCGATACATTATTTGAAATGTTTGTGCAAGTTACTGGGGACTCAGAAAAGAGCAGCCTGTTCATAGACTGGAGGGGGACAGACACGGCACGTGATGAGCGCAGTCACAGAGGTCTGCGGCACTAGCCAACGCAAAGGGTTAGGTCTGTGGATTCGTGGCCGGTGCTACTTGGACATTGTTGATCAGTATCCGTTCTTGTTTAACAAACGTTTGTTGAGTGCCTGCTGTGTGGCAGGCGCTGTTCTAGGAGATTGGGATGCATCCCTGAACAGAATAAAAAGATCCCTGCCCTTGTGGGGCTTACGTGGCCTGCCTAAGCCACGGACACCTGAAAAGGGACTTAGCTGAGCCATTCCCTGGACATGGGCATTCTTGGCTCCCAGATGTGGGGGGCATGCCTGTGCATTTGAGGGATAGCAAAGGGAGCCCGTGTGGCCGAGCAGGGCTAAAAGTCAGTTGGGGGAAAGGAAGCAGCAGGCCAGAGCCGCAGCTGGAGGGGTGGTGTGACTGGCCCTCGGCAACAAGGCTTGGGGATGCCATTTGGCAGGCCAGATCAGTTCAGTCTGGGGTGTTTTGAGTTAGATAAATCTGTTAGATTCAGAAATTCTGAAAAGGGGCTTGTGGTACCTACCAGTTCGGGAGTGGTCGGCATACAGATGGTATCCATAAGAGCAGATGAAATCTTCGGGGGTATAAGGTTAGACCAAAGAAAAGAAATCCGAGTGACCGAGTTCCAGGACATTAAGAGATTAAGGAGAAGAGGAGGGACTAGGAAAGGAGACCAAGAAAGAGAATTAGCAAGGTAAGGGGAAGATCAGAAATCTGTACAGGAAGCGTTTCAGGGAGGAGGGAGTGCTCATTGCTCCAGTGCTGCCACTAAGCCGAGTAGGGAAGGAGCCCAGAAGACACCACTGGCTTCAGCAGGAAGCGTGGATGGAGTTGTCTGACAGGTCCAGTAGAGAGGGACAAACCTGCAGGCTTTCATATATATGTGAATATACAGAACTTTTTCAAGTTTTACTTCAAGGATGATCAGAGAAGTGTAACAGCAGCTGGCGGGGAGGGGGAGTCAGGAAAAGACAGGAGAAGTAACATCTGTTAGTGCTGGTAGGAACGTACCTGCATAGGATGGAAAGCTGATGTGTGAGGGATGGGGAGAGCCACAGAAGGAGCGTCCTTGGATAGGCAGGGGAGGTGGGGAGAGGGATTTAGTGTGCGAGTCCGGAGATTGCCTTCAGGCAGGAACCGAGAGAGTTCATCTCTAAGCACAAGGACGGAGAGGACTGTGGACGTTTGCTGGTGATAGGTGTGAGGGAAGTTTGCGGAAGCTCTCTTGTGGTTGTTTCAGGTTTCTCAGTGAGGTAGCAGGCCGGGTCGTCAGCTGACAGTCAGGACGAGAGAGGGAGCTGAAGAGAAAGGAGAAAGTGAAGTAGTCCAGTCATCTGGGACAGCGGTCAGCAAACCTTATCTAAAGGGCCAGAGTGCATAGTTAGGCTTCGTGGGCCTTAGAATCACGGGCTCTGTCTCAAGTACTCAACTCTGCTCTTTTAGCCCAAAAGCAGACATAAACAATAACTACATCGATTTTCCATGGCTGTGTTCCAGTACAATTTGATGTACGGAAACAGGCATCCAGCTCATGGGCCATAGTGTGCTGACTCCTGTCTGGGACGGAGGAGTGCGAGATCAAGGATGTGTGATGTGTGTGTGTGTGTGATGATTACCCGTCCGCTTGGAGGGCCCACTTGAGGTCTGTGACCATTTGTTGAAAGTACACACTTTCGGCATGGTTGTTTGTGTGTCTCCAGCCGAGGTCAGCTGCCAAGGTTTAGGCACAGAGTGATGAAGAGTTGAATCTTGAGTCTATCATCAAGCAATGAATGGGATGAACGGACCTAAGGGCAAAGCTGAAGGCCCACGAGAGGTAGTATTGTAATGAGGGGCTGTGGAATCCAAGCTGCCTTAGGGGAGCATCCAAGGATGGGAACGAGCGGACAGGCAGGCCCAGTGGGCTGTTGGAATCAGAATATACGAGATGGCATGAAGGGGCATTCAGAGAATGAAGGGGTTGCTGATTTTAGTGAGTCCAAGGTGGTAGGTGTGATCAAGGGAGTGGCTGGCATATGTGGAAGATGGGTTACTGGGGCAGAGGAGATCAAGATGCCAGAGGCCAAGATGGGAGGATCATCTGTCCCCTGAGTCACCAAGAATTAGGGCAGGGATGGTGTCAGAGAGAATGACAGGACACTGTTTCGTGGTGGTTCTGGATAGAGTCTCAGAGTCACTACCAGCTGTTAGAATAAGACAGGAAACCTGTTAGTCTTGAGGTTGTGGGATTGTGGCGGAAGAACAAGGGTTAGACAGTGAGGAGGCTACGTAGACCGAGGCCAGAAGCATGATGCTGCTTTTTAGAACAGTGGCTGGATAGTATTGCTAGTTTGGAGATCTAGTCTAAAAGAAAGCAGACAGATCATACTGTAATGGGGGCTTTAAAAAGTAAGCAGAGTTTGCAGACCAGTGAGGAGAAGGAAAAAGGAAACTAACAGGAGATCATTAAAAGGGTTGACTGTGACACCCCATAAGCGATCAAGTCCCATAAGCGATCAGAACTCCCGGATTTGCATGGTTGGACAGTGTTTTTATCCCAGGAATCACCATCCAAGTAAGAGAGCACTGATCTAGAGGGTGTGAAGGGCTTTAAAAGGGAGAAAGGATATTCCTTCCCATAGCATGCTGTCGGGCAATTGAAAGACTGAGATGTATGTCTATAACCCAATAATGACATAGATGTGGCCGTGCTAATGTCCTAGACACAATGTTAATATAAGAGCTTAGAATAGAAAGAACATCTGAAGTTTGGGTTTGGATCTTGGTTTTGGTCTGGAAATGGTTTGTTATGAGACTATCACAGTATGAAACCCTAGTGATCTCAGTATCATCTTAATTACAGCAGAAGGTAATCTCTTCTTACTCACAGGATTATAAGACAAGAGATGTGACCGATGATGTAAAAAATATTGTAAGATTTGTTCAAGAACATAGTTCATCACAAGGAACAAGAAATAAAAACCACATAGGTCCTTCTGGGAGATTTACTATGAATATGCTGGTCGACATTTTCTTGGGTAAGTTATCTTTTTTATTGTTTGAGTTATAGCAATTAAAATTGAACATCTAGGGGCACCTGGGTGGCTCAGTCTATTAAGCATCTGCCTTTGGCTCAGGTCACAATCCCAGAGTCCTGGGATTGAGCCCCGCATCAGGCTCCCTCCTCAGCGGGGAGCCTGCTTCTACCTCTCCCTCTGCCTCTGTGTGCTTGCTCGTGTAGGCGTGCACTCTCTCTTTCTCTCTCAAATAAATAAATAAATATTTTTAAAAATAAAATTGAACATCTAAAGAATTTATCACAAGTACGTAGAAAAAATCTCTCTTGCCTGTCTTCTTACAGAAATTAAAGATTTCAGAATAAAACTTTTTCGAGTAATGAAAGCAAGTTAACTTTAATGAATTATACCAATTGTTTGTATAGAATTTATATGTTCCTAAGGTGAGGTTTTCACATTCAGAAAAGCAAATAATGGGGCACAATGGATGAAGGGGATTAAGAGGTACAAACTTACAGTTATAAAATGAATATGTCATGGGAATGAGAAGGACAGGATAGGAAATGTCGTCAGTGACATTGTGATAACATGACTGCCGAGCATACATAACGTACAGAATTGTTGAATCACTGAAACTGATGAAATATTGTATGTCAACTATACGACTATAAAGATAATAGTAGTAATAAATACAAAGAAAATATTAAAGCATATACAATTTCATCGGAATGAGTGAAATATAACTTGCTTGGAAAATTACCTGTTGAGGGGCACCTGGGTGGCTCAGTGGGTTAAAGCCTCTGCCTTCAGCAAGGGTCATAATCCCGGGGTCCTGGGATCAAGCCCCGCATTGGGTTCTCTGCTCAGCGGAGAGCCAGCAGGCTCCCTTTCCCTCTCTCTCCCTCTTTCTCTGCCTGCCTTTCTGCCAGCTTGTGGTCTCTGTCTGTCAAATAGATAAATAAAATCTTTAAAAAAAAAAAAAAGAAAATTATCTGTTGAGTGACTTCCAGGTCCAGATGGCAGCTTGGGCAAAAGGATACCTTCTTCTTTGTTTGTTAGAGGCCCTATTTAAATAATAGGAAACAAAATGGGGACTCACTTCATTGAGGCATAGAGAACCAGAGAGAGACATCACCAGATTCAAGATATTTCAAATCTTTTAGGAAATAGAAATACAGTGACAAGTGGAATGAAATACAATAAGCCACCTGCAGAATGAATGTAGAGTGAGAATCATGGCGGGGGGGCGGTGCTTGACCAGGCAGAACTCCGTTATCGGGCCTCAGAGTGAGTCTACAGGTCCAGGGGATGGGAGTGAAGAAAGCAGGGGAGCCAGAAATAGGAGGAAAGAACTGCATCAAATGCCAGCCTGGAATTGATTCTAGAACAAAAATGAACGGTGTGAGGAATAGAAGGGCAGCTGAGTTAGGGGCCAGAACCCCTAAGTAGCATTTGGGGACCACCTAGCCCACCCACTCACCCTAAAGCAAACCTGAATATTCCCATTCAGGGGAGGAATTTGAGGGGAAATGGATAGAAAATAACAGAGGAAGAGCACCTGGGTGGCTAAGTCAGTTAAGCATCTGACTCTTGGTTTCGGTTCAGGTCATGAATTCAGGGTCATGAGATTGAGCCCCGTGTCGGGCTCTGAGCTCAGTGGGGAGTCTGCGTGAGATTCTCTCTCCCTTTGTTCCTCCCCACCGTGCACTCATACTTCTCTCTCTCCCAAATAAGTAAATAAAGTCTTTAAAAAAAATTTTTTTTAAATAACAGAGGAAATCCACCTTAAAAGTTTAACCTGATCCCTGAAGGTTAAGTACAACTCGACAACCAAGAGAAACCAAGTAAATATTTGACCCTGGGGATAAAGAAAATATAGAAACTAAGCAGTAGCTTTAGGAGGCATAGAGGAGAAACTCCTAATTTAGAATCTTCACCAAGACTTCAGTAACAATAGAATGTTACCGAAAAGAAACAAAGAATGAGAAAGAACTGTTAAAATTTTTATTTATTCATCTCTTTAATTTTTTATTTTTAAGTAATTTCTGTATCCAACATGGGGCTCAAACTCACAACCCTGAGATCAGGAGTCAACTAAGCCAGTCAGGCGTTCCAAGAGCTGTTAAAAATTTTAAATGATTGGAGCACCTCAGTGGCTCAGTTGGTTAAATATCCTGCCTTCAGTTTAGGTCATGATCCCAGGGTCCTGGGTTTGAGCCCCATATCAGGCTCCTTGCTCAGCGGGGAGCCTGATGCTCCCTCTCCCTCTGCCTCACTTCCTGGTTTGTGCTCTCTCAAATAAATAAATAGAATCTTTAAAAAAAAATTTTTTTTAATGATTGACAAAGTAAGTTTAGTGGAAATGTTGAAAGGTAATGTCAGAGTTTTCTAAGACCTGAGCAAAAAGATATATGGAAAATATAAGGAAAAATATAGGTTAGTTCTTAGGAGATTTGAAATCTGATAAAAATTTTGAATTAGAAAATAAAGAGATGGAGTTATCAAATCAGTGATAAGAGAAAATTTCTCTGAGTGAAAGAGAAAAAGACCTTCAGATTAAAACGTCCACTGAATGCCAAAGGAGATGCTTTATGAGATTTGAGAATAACAAGAATAAAATGAAGTTGGGGAGGAAAAACTCTTCCTCCATCCTGTTAGATTTAGTGGTTGGGGGCCTGTGAATTAAACAGACAAAAGACAGATTTCATAAAAATGTGACTAAAAGGGCCAATTAAAATTGAGGCTTATATACCATCTTAATAATGGAAAGAGAGGGGGAGAAGAACGCTTACGGGAAAACAAATGGTTTTTTGGAAAGATAAGGGCCCTTAGGAGAATAGATGAGAGGGAGGTAGGATAGTTTTGTTACAGTGTTTAGGAATGGTATGGAGACTTCTCATCTCCAATGATAAGTAAGAATCAGTCTTCTTCGGTTGCTCCCAGGGAGAGAATTTATGACAATTGGTGGGGGGGGGGTTGGGGGAGGTCTCCTTTTTTATTGCAGATAAGAGGTTTCAGGAACTCAAATGCCTTCTGCTCAAAATAATTTTTATGCCACAGTGGCATATTCTGGACCCCTTCCGAGATAATCTGAAAACTTTGGAAAAAGAAACCAAAGCCAAACCTGTGATTAGTATCAGTGACTAGAGCCCAGAAGGCAAAGAAAGTGATACCATAAACGGAGGAGCTGACCCATGGGTCCAGGGAGAAGGAGGCCTGGATCCAGGGGTATGCAGCAGGTCCAGTAAGCAGTCTGTGCAGGTTTTAACAAAGTCAAGAAAAACAGGTCCCAAGCAATGTTAGAAGGAATAATGAATTTTTTCCAGTAAAGAATGCAAATGTTAATTCTCAACAGAAGGAGAAAGGCATTTAGAAGTTCCATGGGAAAGATTATACAAAGAGAGCTAAGGTCAAATGTAAAACAAGGGAAGTTGTTATACAATTTTGAGTAATTGATAAGCGTCCGAAAGCAATCCAGTTGTGTGGGTGCGGTAGACATTCTCTTGAGAGTTACACAGGAGTCAGGACCTTCTAAGTAGGGAAGGAACTGTATCATAAACACTGCTGACAAACTGCAACAGTTACAGGCAACCCAATGGACTGAAATACGTTTAGGGAATAAGACAAGATGTGTTCATCTTAATGATGTAAAAATAAAGGTACAATAAACAAAAGGGGGAGCACTCGGAAGGCTTGGGGTGCTAATAACCTCTTATGTAAAAGGTAGAGAGGAACCAGAAGTTCTGTCTAAAGTTACAAAATAGGGTCATCTGGGTGGAGCATCTACCTTTGGCTTGGGTCATGATCCCAGGGTCCTGGGATCGAGCCCTGTATCAAGCTCCTTGCTTGGAGGGGAGCCTACTTCCCCCTCTCCCTCTGCTCGCCACTTCCCCTGTTTGTGCTCTCTCTCTCTCTTTCTCTGTCAGATAAATAAAATCTTTTAAAAATAAATAAAAATAAAGTTACAAAATCATCAGTTGATTAACCCATATTATATAACTAGCCAAGTTTGGGTTGAGGTGAAGTGTAGGGAGTAGTGTCAATGAGATGAAGCCTCATCTTTCTTAGCAGGGTAGGGGGTCATGGGTAAATGGCAGGCGGTAGAGCTGGCTGGGGGAGTGACAGCAAGGGTTTGAGTTCCATGTGGAGGTGGCCACGGGAAGAGCTGAAAACAAAAGCTATTTAAAACAGGACTCTGGGGATGCCTGGGTGGCCCAATGGCTAAGCGTCTGCCTTTGGCTCAGGTCTTGATCCCAGCGTCCTGGGATCAAGTCCCGAGTGTGGCTTCTTGCTCAGAGGGGAGCCTGCTTCTCCCTCTGCCTACCACTCCCCTGCTTGTGTTCTCTTTCTCTCTCTCTCTCTTTCACAAATAAATAAAATCTTTTAAAAAAAAAAACAAAAACAAAACAGGACTCTGCCAGGGTGCCTGGCTGGCTCAGCTGGTTAGGCACATGACTCTTTGTTTGCGTTCAGGTCCTGATCTCAGGGCCCTGAGATGAGCTCCTGAGTCTGCTAGGGAGTCTTTCCTTCTTGCTTTCCATCCCCCTCTGCTCCTCCCCATGCTTTTGGCCTTGCCTGCGCACCATGCTCACGTGCTCGCTCTCTCTCTCTCAAATAAATAAAATCTTAAAAAAAAAAAATTACTGCCTTTGGGCACCCAACTGGCTCAATAGGGAAGAGCACAACTCATATATTCATATATAGATAGATATAGATTGATATATTTTTTTAAGGTTTTATTTTATTTGACAGAGAAGAGAGAGTACAAGAGGGGAGCAGCAGGCAGAGTGAGAAGCAGGCTCCCCACAGAGGAGGGATCCCAATGTGGGGCTCAGTCCCAGGACCCTGGGATCATGACCTAAGCCGAAATCAGACACTTAACCCACTGAGCCACCCAGGCACCCCAGGAAGAGCACAACTCTGGATCTCAGGGTCATGAGTTCAAGCCCCACATTGGGGGTTGAGATTACTAAAAATTAAAATTAAAACAAAACAAAACAAAACAAAACATGATTGCTTTCCAGAAGAGTGGAGGATGGGGGAGGGAAGAAGGATGGAACAGAGGAACGTTGGTTTTCATCCTAAACCTTTCTGTACTACATTTTATTTTTCCCATGTACATGCCTTACTTTAATTTAAAAAATAGATAAAGCAATTAATAGGTGCATTTCTTTTTTAAAACATTAATAGCCTAGACTGGTGTAGGAATATGGTTTACTCAGTTCCTCAACTCTTCCTTCTGGATCTGCTCTTTCCTCCAGGCAAAAGCAACTGTTAGTGTTGGTCTTCCCTTTCTGAATTTTTTTTTTTAAGATTTTATCATAGAGAGAGCATGAGCATGAGCTGAGGAGGGGCAGAGGGAGAGGGAGAAGCAGGCTCCCAGCAAGGAGCCCAACTCCGGGCTCCATCCCAGGACCTGGGATCATAACCTGAGCCAAAGGCAGACACTTAACCAACTGAGCCACCAGACTGAGCCACCAGGGCGTTTTGTTTTGTTTTGTTTTTAGGATTGTATTTATTTGAGAGAGACAGCATGAGCCGGGGGAGGGACAAAGAGAGAGGGAGAAGCAAACTCCCTGCTGAGCACAGAACCCATGTGAGGCTGGATCCCAGGACTCCCCAGGACTCTGAGATCATGACCTGAGATGAAGGCAGACTGACTGCGCCCCCCCACCCCCGTCTGGATTCTTGCCTTTGAGTTTGGACCTCTTTCAGGGTCAGGAGGAACAAGGGGTTGCAGATAAAATAATGTATTATAAGAGTGATGCGTGATCACTCCACATTGCAATATGTAGAAAATACAAGTAACTCCGGAAAAAAGCACTAATATTTTAATGTGTATTTATTCACAATCACATATTTATCGTACTGTACATATAATTTATATCATTTCTACATAACAAGATAGAAACATTATTTAACTTTTTTATTCTAGCTTTTAGTAATTTATATTTTATCATGTTGATGAGCTGTATTTAAGTAGTCTTATTTAAGAACATGTTTTTCTGTTATACATGATGATGTGATAAATAGCCTTTTAAATACACCTTCAGCTGCACCTGTGATTGCTCGTTTCATGTAGATTCCCAGGAAGATTACTGAATCATTGTTCTGGCATACCTAGTTCCTCACTAGCTCTTTCATGTTAAGAAGTTTCTGTTTAGCTTTTTTTTTTTTTTTTTTTTAACATACATTTATTTATTTATTTATTTATTTATTTTAGTGATCTTTACAACCAGTTTGGGGCTCAAACTCACAAGCAGCTCCCCCACACACACGCACTTTTTTTTTTGTTTGTTTATTTTTCCAGCTTTCTTAGTTACTGCCAGCTCTAGGGCTGGTCCTGTGATGTGACGTTTCAGGGATTCAAACCACTTGAAGGAAGGAAACCTTGAATCATGGGGCATAGATGACCAGAAGCCATCTGACATTTACAATAATGTAATTATTTGGAACTCTTAAAATAGAACTAAAGCTTTACAGAGTAACTGTTAATTCCGATTATAATCAGCGTCACGAGGCTTCTTAAGTAGATTGCTGTAATGAAGTTATGTTTACAATGAAGACATTAATAATTACAACAGATTGGATAGGTGACCAGATATCCAGACCAGTGCAGTGCTTTCAGCCAGTAGGAAGAGGAAGGAAGGAGGCAGTCTCCTGGAGTGACGTGTTTTTGTCTTACACTCTATCAAGGCTTCCTCCGTGAGGGTCACAGAAAGTATGGGCTTAAATAATTGGACTGCACACGAGTGTTACTTTCAGTACAGGACCAGAGATAGCATTTGTGAAAATGTCCAAATTTTTCTGTAAGGAGATCAGTAATGCACTGTTATCCTAATGTAGCACAGAGATACGAAGTGCTTTGAGTTTATGTAACCCTCTCTTTGATTTCTTTGCTCTAATGTAATTTTAGAAATTGTAAGTGCAACATCCTAAAATGATAAGCTTTATTTTGCTGCTGTTTTTGTTCAATGTGTGTTATAAAAAGATGAGGAAAAGTATATATAACCATAGAAATTTTAGAGTTCTACTCAGATATTCTCATTTTATGGAAATGGGTATGTTTGTGCCATGGGTTTTCCTATGGCACAGATTATCCACTCCATTTATCCAGACCTGTCCATAAATGACTTTTTTAGCCTCTCCTACTGGAGGCTTCTGACATACCTACATTTACTAATCTAACTCCTTGGGCCTTCTTACCAGGGAGTAAGAGTGCAAAAATTCAGTCGGGGATATTTGGAAAGGGATCTACTTATTCACGACACAATGCTGAAAGACTTTTTAAAAAATTGATACTTGACAAGATTTTGGATGAAGACTTATATATCAATGCCAATGACCAACCTATTGCCTATGTGATGCCAGGAAATAAAGCCCAAACTGTCCTAAATGGGCATTTAAAGGTAGGATATTTTGAATGTTTATTTTATTTAATTATCTTACAGTGAGTAGGCAAAAATATATTACTGCAAATTAGAGGGTCTTTTCCAAAGCTTATGGATACTGAATTTATATATACTGTCCTACATGAATGTACTCTGTTCCTCTTAATTTGGAAAGAGCTGAAAATCGAACCCAAGTAATACAGTACCTGTCAGAGCAAATTCCGTCGGGTCGTCCGGTCTCTGAATCATCATACGTTCATTAGGTAAACTTTATCAAGAAGCCGTTCTGTGCCAGGCACTGGAGATGGAAAGATGAGGAATCCACAGCCCCTGTTACTGAGGCGTTTGCTATAGCTGCTTGGCATAACAGAAATACCAAAAAAAAAAAAAAAAGAAAGAAGGAAAGAAAAGAAACCAAAAAAACCCATGCAAATGCAAGTAAGAATTAAATGAAGCTTATATTTGGATACAAGTGCGCGTGTACCCACTCCTGTGATCACTTTCTCTCTCACAAAGGTAGACTTTATGGAAACAGAAAATTCCACCAGTGTGAAAAAACAGAAAGCTTTAGAGGCAAAGATATCTCAAAGGGAAGAGGTGGTGAAGAAGTGTCTTGGAGAACTGACCGAAGCCTGCAAATCTCTGGGAAAAGTTTTTGGTGTCCACTACTTTAATATCTTTAATACTGTCACTCTCAAGAAGCTTGCAGGTACGTATGGTCTTCTGTTACGTGGCATGAATTAATAAGCCAAAAGTTAATCTGGCTAAGGAACTTTTTAAGAGCATCGATCTAGCTCAGTTTATTTTCATTATTTTTATTTAATCTCTAAATTGAAAGCTCAAAGAAGCAACTTAAACTTGAGATGAAATATGGTCTTTAAGATACATACAGTGGAGCACCTGGGTTGCTCAGTGAGTTAAGCTGCTGCCTTCAGCTCAGGTCACCATCCCAGGATTCTGGGATCGAGTCCTGCATCAGGCTCCCTGGTCAGCGGGGAGCCTGCTTCTCCCTCTGCCTCTGCCTGCTGCTCCCCCAGCTTGTGCTGTCTCTCTTTGACAAGTAAATAAAATCTTTAAACGATAATAATAATAAGACATATACAGTACTGTGTTATTTGGACACACAGTATAATTTTAATTTTATACTTCTCCCTCTAATGCTGGATGTTAGGAGTGGATAATTGTAATCTCTAATACCTGCTGTCACTCGTTGATTTTGTCTTCATTATCTGCCTGCTTTATGATGTTTGGCTATGTTAAGTACGAATGTCTGTGCAATGAGGAGCTACATTCCTTATGAAAAGACATTATGTTTCATGCTTCTTTGAACCCAGATCTGGCACACTGCTTATCTTGAGTTCAGCTGACCTGAGTTATTTCCATAGGTATTTATTACGACCATAGTCATTTCCATAGCTTCTGACAGCTCCACCCAGAATCCTAATAAGAAAGCCCCTGGGAAGTAAAATAAGTCCCCCACATGGTTGACTGATTAATGTACACATTGCCTTCTGCATTCTTCTGTCATAAAATCTCATGATCCACACCTCCTCTCTCTTCTGTTCCCATTCCTACCACCCTGGGTCATCACAGCGTCTCATCAGCTCTGAGATGCTGTCTGTTTGCTGAGACTGCTATTTTGTGGACTATTAAGAGAGAAAAAATTGTGCTAATTAAACAGTGACACAGTGCTTTTATGGAAAGAATTGTTTCTGATTTACTTAAATACAGATTTCTTATTGTATATAACTCTGTGCGTTATAAAAATCACATAAAATCATAGCAAGTTGATTTAGGTACTTAGAGAAATTCATATCTAAAACCTGACTCTTGGGAACCATTTGTGGCCTTGGCTATATGTGTCTTTCCCTTGTGTTTTGTTTTTTTTTTAAGATTTTATCTATCTATTTAACAGACAGAGATCATAAGTAGGCAGAGAGGCAGGCAGAGAGAGAGGGAGGGGGGAAGCAGGGTCCTCGCCAAGCAGAGAGCCCGATGTGGGGCTCGATCCCAGGACCCTGGGATCATGACCTGAGCCGAAAGCAAAGGCTTTAACCCACTGAGCCACCCAGGCGCCCCTCCCTTGTGTCGTTGAGAGTGCTAGTGACACAGCCTTTTCAGCGCACTCCACTCTTCTCCCCAGCAATTTAGCCAAATCCGCCAGTCAGCTGCTCTGATGTGATGGTGGCGTTTCTCCAAGGGTGCCAGAAAGCATCCGCGGGAGGCCGCACAGCTCTAGGGGACGCAGATGTCCTACTGTCCCATTGGCTGTGGGCATCCTTTTCAGGTCCTGTTAAGCACTTGGTTGTGGCTCACGGAATCGTGACCTTTTCCTCAAAGGCAGATACCTGCTTTATTCATGCCAAATCCCTTCCCCGTGACCCTGTGCTTTTCTGCATCACGGTCACTTCTCCAGTGTCCTCAGTCTAATCTTCTGGCCAACATTGCGTGGGGCACCCGGGACACTGCTGAGGCCCCCACAGCACGGCCAGCCAGGATGAGGCCTCACGCACATGGGTGGGGGCAGCCGTTGACCATCGGCCCCTGTCGGACACATCTGGACCTTGGGAATGGCACAGCGTGGAGCAGTGCATGTCTTAGAATCAAGGAAATACAGCATTTTGTGCCTAGGCTATTAGTGAGTTGCCTGCCTGGTCTCTAACTCCGGATAGGAACAGGAGACACATTTAATCTTCCACAAAGTCCGCTGAAACGCCACCAGTTTCTCGAAGAGGGACAGATTTCTGCCTGCCTGCCCAACGTCCTCTTCCATTAACCCTCCATAAACCTACTGGTCTGTCCCACAGGTCTCTTCCTTTTCCTCTAAACACAGAAATTAATGTGAAAATTACAGATTTGAGATCTGCCCTTTATTTGCTCAAAGAGTAGGAATTGTCACTTCCTCACTCCCCAGAGCCAGTGCCTCAACAAATCCCCCAGACCCAGCCTCTGAAATGTGGATCACTCTTCCATCCACGTGCCCTGCCCGACTGTAGTTCCCGCATCCTGGCCTGCTCCTGCAGGGGCTCCTGCCTGGTCAGTTTCCTCTCTCCCTGACAGGTCATTTTCCATGCGGCAGCCAGAGCGATCTTTAAAACGACAGGCTTGTCTAGCTCCAAGACTTATGGGCCATCTGTATGCAGAGGACTCTTAATGGCTCATTTGTTCCCGTCCGAGGACTTTCTTCACCTGAACCACATGGCAGAGAGACTGGAGGAAGCACGGGTTTGGGTTGGGGGTGGAGTACGAATTCATTTATGGGCTTCTGGAAGAGGAGATTCATGTCTGGAGTGCCGGGGAGCAGTCGGAGCTGGAAAGACAAATGTGGGCGTTCTCCGAAAACAGGGAACATCAGCGTGGCAGTTAGACAAGTCTTTGTTGTGAGAACAGCGGGCGGGAGCAAAAGTCTGGTTAAACTCTGAGACACGTAGCGTAGGTACCCGCCTCCAGTCCCCCCAACACACACCATTCTCTGTCTGCCCCCCTCTGCCCTGACTTAGCGCCTCTGCTGCTGCAATTGCATGACGGGCTCCCGTCCTCAGGGCCTGTCGCCTGCCTCTGTTGGCACCAACTGCCGGTTAGAAAATTGGCCCATGTGCCTGGTGCCCTGCAGTTAGTTGGCGCTTCACAGGCATGTGTTGAATGAGTGAATGAGCATGAATTCAGTGGGTTTTCTATGGGTGGTAATTTAAATTCCTAATTTTATGCCCATGCACAGAATCTTTATCTTCTGATCCTGAGGTTTTGCTTCAGATTGATGGTGTTACTGAAGATAAACTGGAAAAATACGGTGCTGAAGTGATTTCAGTATTACAGAAGTACTCTGAGTGGACATTGCCAGGTACGGTATACAGCTAACTGTGTTTTCTAGAAGCCTGTTTGTATGTTAAGCAATGCCTCCCACCGGATTAGACTTTTGTGGTTTCTGGATTGTGTTAACGCTTCCTCCACCTTGTCACACTGACGTTCAAGTGCAGAGCAGCCCCTGTGCTGTGCCAGGCAACTCTTGGAGGACACTGGCGCTTAGCCTTGCCCTCCAGGAAGGCCAGTGACTCGACCTGCTAGTAGGACCCAGAGGAGGACCTTTGGGCCCAGGAGCTCCAGTTCTCTTAAGGCAAGTGCCCAGGGAATCCCGTCTCAACTCTGCTAGCCATGGCAGGCCACAAGTAACTTTCTTTGTGCTTGGTTTCCTTATCTGTGGGAGGGACATGTTATCTGACAAGCATGTCTAAAGATAAAATTTAAGAGTGGAGTTTAAATGTTTTGGGAAAATGAATGTGCAATTGGAATGCTAGATAATCATCGTTATCAGAGAGAATCTGCCCAAGTGAGCACATCACTAGCAGACAGTCCCGCGGGTTACAGTGGGCCGGTCATGGAGCCCCTCACTGTGAGCCCTTCACTGTGAGCCCCTCACTGAGCTACAGACAGCATGAACCATGAGAAGCTCAAGATGGAGCTCCTGTAGGAGATGCGAGGTCCCATGCCCTCCTCCCACATATTGCCCTGCAGTAGGGCACAACAGACGGGCCAAGTTCAATGATTCTTCTGTTTGTGTAATAGACAGCAGGGGTTTCTTCCCAAGGCTGATGGGAAAGATAAGCGGAATGAGGAATGAGTGCACATTTCTTTCAAGTTCTGTCCCTCCTCCTCCATTTTTTACCCATTAACAAAATGCTGAAAAGCGAGGTTTTTATAAATTCCTCTGTGTGGTAATTATTCCATTAAGAGCCTTGCTTTGAATATTGGTAGGAACTTAACATTTGTTTAGTGTAGTAACTTGTTTGGGAGGGGATTTTTGCCCACATAAGACGGGCTGCTCTGTGGAAACAGCCCACAGTGTGGTGACGATCGCTCCCACTTACTGAGGGACAGACACCGTGCCAAGAGCTTTGCCTGTTTTGTATCATTCCGTCCTCACAACACCCCATTTCACAGCCTTTTTAGTGCCAAGTCCCACAGCTAGGATGACGGGATGACAGCTCCCCGTGTGAACCAGTGTTGGACTGACTCTGGAGTCCCACAGCTTAGAACCCTTCCCTCCAGGCAGGCGGGTAGCCCGAGGGGGAGCCGGACCAGCCAGGAAATACCTTCCTTGGGAGAATGGAGCTGGGGTCCCCATGACCCAGGGGAAGATTTCCTGCTTTTTAGGTGCCTTAGGGTGCCAGTACCTCGTGGAAATTACCACCTCCTTTGCAAACTAGTGCTTTTGTACCAACCCATTTCCTGCAGAGTATGTGATACGTTCCCAACCATAACATAAAGAAGCATTTTTTTTTCTTTGAAGAGTATGATAGGGCCTAGGGTTTTCTGGCACACGTTTACTGCATAACTGTTGTTCAAGATGAGGTACAGAGCATAGTCTGTAATGTTTCTCTTATATTGAGCTCTTCTTTTTTTCAAGATGTGTTAAATTATAAATAAAATTGTCTTTTATATGCCTTTATACTTTTCAAAGAGCTTCACAGGATTATCTCCCAAACGATAACAGGGACACAGGCCGTTTACAACAGAGTATGAGCCACACCTGATGTCCTTAGTTAAGTTAAACTTTTACAAATTTCTGGGGTGCCTGGCTGACTCAGGCGATGGAACATGTGACTCTTGGTCTTAGGGCTGTGAGTTCAGGCCCCACATTGGGCATAGAGCTTACTTTAAAAAAGAGAGATTATCATAGGCTTCTTTAATAAATTCTGATCTCGTTACTTTAAAAGTAAAATTCCATTGAGGACTCTGGCAGAGTCCCCTGACATCAAGAAATCTTCCATTCTTGTGGAATTACTGAACCCAGGTGGCAGGAGGCCCCCAGGAAAGCAGCCGGGTATCAGCCCAGCTGTGCCCCTGGTGGTGGTCCTCCCCATGGACCATCATGGCGCCTGGGCCAGCGCACCATCAGGGACAAACATCTGCACTGTCCACTTGTAGCTGATGACGGTTCCCCGCGGAGAAGCTCGGGCAGCAGCAGGGGCACCAGAAAAAACGGCCCCGAGGAGTTTGATGAGGAAACACCCATATCTTCTCACTACTTTACGAATAAAACCAAAAATGAAAGGAAGAGGAAGAGGATGTCAGCCTCCCAAAGGCCTAAGAGGAGGAAAACTGGCTTTGGTGGCTCCAAGACCAAAGGGTAGGTCCTGCCCCATGGGCCACGGGGCGGTGGGTGCATCGGGGAGGAGAGTACAAAAGCCCCCGTGGCTCCGGTTTGCTCTGAAGCATTATTAAAATAAGTCATTGTTAAATGTTGCCTCTCTAGTTAATGGAGTAATGACTAAGACTGAATCCAAAACAGAAACATTTGTTTTAGATTTTTAAAATCTCTACTCCTAAGTTGATTATCACTCAAGTTTTCTACTTTGCAAAAATGTCTCCAGTTTTGACATTACCTTTGAAAAAAAGAGTTTTTTTCTTTATAATCACTCTCCTTAAGGTTCTTTTCCACCTAAAATGTTATGAATCCTGTACTAGCTGAGTAAACAAAGGGTTTTGTTTCCCCATTGCTTTTATGATCCCTTTGTACTGCTACACTCTGCTTTCTCTGCTGCGGCACCTGCGGCCCGGCACGCTCCCTGCCAAAGCTCCCGGCCCTGCGGTGAGACCTGGGAGAACCGTCCTCCCAACCTGTGCAGGGTAGCTGCGAAGACCAAACGAGAAGGTCAGTTAAGCCAGGCCTCCAGGGGCTGCGTGAATGGCTCCCGCCTCCCGTCTCCCACCTTGGCCTGGCCCCAGGGCTGGGATGCGGTGGCTTTGGGGTGCTCCCTGCACGCTGGCGGGGCACGAGGCCCTGTCAGGTCCTGGCCGATGATCTGTGCAGAACTTCTTTTGTCTTCATAATTGCACTGCCCGTGCCCTGTAGGTGAGCAAGGTCTGGCAGGATCGGGACCACCCCGTCAGCCTAGAGAATGTGGCCCCCCAAGTAACCACATAATGTAACGGAAATGCTTACAGGAGAAAGGAAGCAAGTCCTCAGCAAACTTTTGCAAGCTATTGTGTTTTTCTTTCGCAGTTTTTCTACCTCTTTTCCTTCTGGGTAATAAAAAACAAAAATCGAGTGGGGGAAGAGAAAGGAAGGCAAATGTTACCAAATTGTCATTTTCTTGTTAAGTCCATAAACAAGCATCTTGTATGTGCTAATCCTTCTGCCAGGGTACAGAAATTAAAGGCATTAGTAAATGTTAGTTTCATTTTGTGGTTTTTAGTGCGCAAGTGACCAGCAGATGTTCTTCAGTGGGGACATTTTCTCGTTTTCCTCATTTATTCCTCTCTTTTGGGAAATACTCACTTGCTCAGGAGCTCACAGAGTGGGAGGAGGATTTAAAAGGCGTCTGGTCCAGTCCCCTGGGGTTTATGATGAGGTAGCTGAGGCCTGGCCTGGGGAAGGCTTGTGTGAGGCTTTTCCCAGCCGGGTCTCAATTTCCCATGTAGGACCTGCCTCTGGCTCACCCACACCTGCCCAGAGTCCTTTCATTTCTGCACATTATCCACGGAGCTCCCTCACACACAGTTCTGATCCTCCCATTCTTACTTGTTCGAGCAGAACCCACCATATTTCAGTGTTCATTGCCCTTGGCTCCCTTTGCAGTTTTTCCAACTTCTGTTTTTAAGGGTGAAGCACTTCGCCCTGTGGGTTAGAACCTAATCTAGGAAGAAGTCGTAAAACTCACACTTCTCCAAAAGCCAGTACCAATTTGAATACTGGTTGTTAATTAGCCTGCGTGTTTACAATGAGATTCTTTCCTAATCCCTTCTTCCCTTCTGACCAAAACCAGGGGGTTTTGTAACCTTTTTTTTTTTTCTTTTTTTGGACCCCTTGTAGCAGCCCCTTCTACCCCTGCTTCATCCCCGTCGTTGCCGCTGAACCACGGGCACAGTTTCCCACAGCTTCCAGGCTGCTCACCTGGCCAAGAGTCTGCTCAGCCCCAGAATTCCGTGGCCGCGTGCCGGAAACCTTAACTCCCCGACCTGCCCTCTGAGCTTTACATCTTCCCACTAACACACAATGAACCTGTTGTGTTCTGGGCTCTCGGATGGCCCGGCTGCAGCAGGGACCGCTGCTGGCAGATTCGTTCTGTAAATCAATGTAAACAGCAGGTTTTCGCTCAGGGCTTAATTTCTCAGCAGGAAATCAGCGCAGGGAAATTGAAGGCTGCTTCTCTGCCTGGTATTGCCCTCAAGCAGGAGATAAAAATGTTGAAAAAGCGCTCTTCCCCATGGGCCAGCAGAATGCCTTTAACCGGACGGACAGTGGCCCTGAGACCCTGGCCTCCCCATTCAGAGATGGGGAAGATCACTTGCAGGAATTACCTCTGGGCACTGACTTGGCCGGTTACAAACCACGGGGAGTAACCCGCGCAGGCTAGAGGGGCTTCTCCTCTTATCCTTGTAAGATGCTGGCCCTATGGCTCTTCTCTTGCGTTTCCTCAGCAGGGAGAAAAGAGCTGGTATCTTCAGGTCAGTAAGGGAAGTGAGGTGCTGGCAGGACTTTGTCACAGGCTGTGGCCAGTCTTCTTAGCTGGTTTTAAAGGCAGCAAGTGGGAGAGGAGAGTGGGCCAGAGAGTGAGCTGCTGCCAGCATGGCCCGACAACACGTGCCAGATCTGAGTGCCTCTCCAGTGAGCTACGTGGGCCACCTTCCCTGCGCTAGGGGGCTGGCTCTGAGGTTCCCCCCCCGTGCTCTGCCACTGCTCCCTACTCACCCACAAAGCTACCTTTCTCTTAGCTGCGCCAGCACTGTAATTCCACCGTGTCTGTTGTCCAAGCATCTGGGACCTTAAATCAAGGTATTCTCACCTCCTCACCTGGTCATAATAGATCGAGGACTGTGGATCTGGGCTCTGTTGTCCAGAGGGAAGTGTCTCATCATTAGCTGTGAGCAGTGGGGGTGGAGAGCAGGAACAGGGGGTCCGTCTCAAGTCCCCAGATTAAGAAACAGCCCTTGCCATTTTAAGGAGACAAATTGAGAACAAAATTGTGCGAAGGGCAGCAGTCCTTTATTCCTTGAACCGTAAAGGAAACTTACGGGGCATTTGTAGGCAGAAGTGCACAGAGATGCGGAAGAGCGAGGAAAATCACAGATTGATGATAGAGCTCAGTGCAGGTTGAGAGCAAGAAGACTGTTCACTTCTAGTTTTATTTAACCTTTTGATTTTCTTTGTCACCTTTTAGGGGGTCCACCGCATGCAGAAGGACATCTTCTAAAAGTAGATCCTCCAACGTATTTGGACCCCATTCATCTGTGCCTGGTTCTCAAGCAGCATCAGGAGCCCCTAGAAGATTGGGGATTATGGCTCCACCAAAGCCTATAAATAGACCTTTTCTTAAGCCTTCGTATGCATTCTCATAACAACCAGATCTCAACGTACATAGATCTTATTTCTTGTTTGTCAGCATCTCACCATCTGTGACCATAAAGCTGTTAGTTTTGTTAGATCATTTATAATTTTTACCCATAACTATTAATATTTAAATAAATGCTTAGGGTGACAGTTCTTATTTTTAAAATAAACGTTTTCTTTTGAATAAGCATGATTTGCTGCCGCTGCAAGCCTTGTGGCTGTCGTTTCTCAGAACGTCTGAAGCAGCAGCTGAATCATCTCAGTGAGAGAAATTCTAAGCACGACATGAAACACAGAAGCCGCAGGAAGAGACACGCATGGGACATGGTGAAACTGTAAAACTGTGCAGAAGGTGACATAAACAAAATTAAAAGACAAATGACAGAGAAAACAGAAAAATATCTGACGAAGAATTAATATCCATAATACAGAGTACCTGTATCAATCATTTAAGAAAAAGAAAACGAGCTGGGTAGAAAATGAACAGAGGCTGTGACAGGCTCTTCCCAGAAGAAGTACAAATGGCCCACAAATATGTGAAAAACGCCCAGTCTCCCCAGTTACAAATATAAATTAGAACAATGAGATGCCATTCTTCTGCCTCTTAAGTTGTCAACACTGGATAAAATCCCCAAATCTGGGGCCAACAGGAGAATGGCCAAACATGTGACTGGTGAGACTATAGGAGCTGTTTACGGTTAATACTAGGGAGGCCTCACTTTTGAAGACCTTCCGTGTATAGGCTAATGGGCCAGAGAGTCTTAACGTGGGATTTTAGCACCTCTTTTTGGAGCTCTAGTACCTCGTTTTTTGAGACCTGTCGCCTCTTAACTGTAAGTAACCTTGGTGACCTGTTTGGCATCCCACTTCTCTCCTGGACCTCAGTCAGGAGAGTGGAGCACAGGAGGCCCTGCCCGGGTGGAAGTTCCTGCAGTGGGATGTGGCTGGAAGCCCTGTGGCCTCTGCCCACAGGCTCAGTGCTGCGTGGAGCCTGCACCCACTGTGAGGGGTAGCCCTTAGCTGCACACCGCCTTCTGTCCATGTCCGTGTCTGTCACCTGGGGCTTTGGGCTCCACCTGAGTGGAGGAGGCTGGCTGGACGGGAGTCTGTTGAGTGCTGTGCCCTGTTCTCTCAAGATATCTTCCAGAGCTGACCTTTTCACAGAACCCATCTTCCCAGCAAGCTCTGACTCGAGTAGCCAGAAGAAACTTGTCTGGGTGAGGAAAGGACACAGGACAAAGTAGCCTGTGGCTGAGGCTGCTGGGACAGTGTCCCAGGCACAGAGTCACCTGGGAGTGTTAGCGATGCATGAGGACATCTGGCAGGAGGTCACATCCTTCCACATGTGGCAACTTCGACTTAGGGGCACGGGGTGGGGGGGCTCTGCCCAGAGACAGGGAGCCACAGGAGTGGGGTGCTAAGGGGGACAGAGCTGACTCTGACCCTAACTCTAACCCAAACCCCAACCCTACCTCCCAGCGGGGACCTGAGGCCAGCACAGGGTCCAGTGGCAGAGCAGGGCCCCACAGCCACCTCTTTAGAAATTCTGGGCTGGAACAGGCTCTGGTCAGTTCATTGGTCCCCAGGAACAGGCACAGAAAATAAAAGTGCCCTCCTCCATTTCAGCCTCCAGCCTTCTCAGATGGCCCTGCTGGAGGGGTGGGGGGCGGGGGTTAAGGGTGGAATGCTGCGGCATCCACGTGGGGTAATCTCAGGACAACAGAAGCACAAGGACTTTTTTTGTGTGCCCCTGGCAGCCAGAGAGAGCCAGTGACAGCAAAGCCACCAGGCCCTCCTGGGGTTTCCGTGCACAGAAATCACCATGGCGCAGAAGGAAGGTGGGAGATGAGTCTACCAGAGTTCCAGCCTAGGACCTTTCGCTGGCCCACCCTCGCGAGGTACAGGAAGGCCTGGGGATGGGGGGCGTGGGAGGGGTCTGGGGCTCTACTGCCTTCCCCACCAGCCCTGTGGAGGACCCAGGAAGGATTGGAGTCTGACTCCTCTCCCACCATGAGGACTTCAACAAGCTGACAGGTCCTTGCTTACTTTTAAGGACAGGGACCCCACTTCTTCACAGAAAGAGAACAGACCTGTAGAACCCAACTCTCTGCCAAGGGCTGTTCCAGGAATTTTCACATAATTTAATTCATTCCTTTAATCCCTCCCAACAGCCCTGGGAGGCAGGCACATATTAGCCTTTTTTATGTAGAGACCACAATTCAGAGAGGTTATGTAATTGCCCGAATCCACACAGCTAGGAAGTGGTGATAAGTAGGGTAAGGTCCATACTGGTTTGCCCTGACAAGTCCCCGTCTGTATTTGCCGTCCTGGTGTAGTAATCCAGAGCGCTCCCTTGCATTCCTGCAAGTGCTCCCGTTTAGGCAATAGGCTGTAAGGAATCCAGGTCCGTGCTTTTTCCCTGGACAATCCAGCCTCCTCTCCCAACCCCCTTTTTCCATCCAAAGCCCCAGGGGCCACCTGCCACTACCTGCTAAAACATCAGACCCCTGGGGGCAAGCCCCAGGGATAGGGCCGCAGAATTATCAGCCAGCACAGCTGAGCTGCGGTTTTTCTCCAGAACAGGAGAAGAGGAAGTAGAGGCTCTGGTCCAGGCCCCCTTGCTCTTCTTAAGAAACTGTTTTCCTGTGACTTGCTGCTCCCAGCCCCTGAGGCCCACCTACCCTCGGGTGGGTCTCATAGGTCTCCAGCCTTGGGCTCCCACCCTGGCAGAAACATCTGGGCGGAGAGACCATGGCCTTGTGGGCCCATTGTGAAGGCAGGGTGGAGTCCCCAAGAGCCTCCAGCGGCCACTGTTCCCTCAGTGCAGCTGCTACAGCCCCCATGTGGCCTCATAGATGGTTTGGACAAGCCGGCTGGTGCGACGTGCTCAGGGGAATCCAGCCCTGACCAGACCCTCTCTGTCTTGGAGGCATGGCCTCAGCATCTGCAGCTGGGCAGCACCGCTAGAGCTGCTGCACCCCTGGCTTTGAGAAAGCTCCTGCTTTCCAAAAAGCACTCATTCTGTTCTTCTCACCCCCAGACTGGCTTTCCTCACCAGACCTGTGTTCTCTGCAGTGGGAGGAGAGGGGAGAGGGAACAAGACCCCACCATGGTTGGGGTGGCTGCTGGGTCCTTATTCTCCTAGTTGTCGGGGGAGGACAGGGTGAGAGAGTAGACAGAAGTCCAGACTTGAGGCCACAGAACCCTGGAGAGGGGAGGCATCCCTCAAGCAGGGATGGGGACCTGAGGCTGGGTTTCTTGGTGTCCTCACAGCTTCCACCATCCCACAGAAGGTTCGGTGACCACTGGCGACCATCGGTGACTCGGATGACCCCTAGGGCTACTCAGGATGCTGGAGTTCACCCCACTGGGCCTCCATCCCTTTGGGTCCCACACAGGGCCTGGCATACACACAGGCCACAGGCGTCAGCCTGTCCCGGCCCATGTCCCCAGTCCCTGCCAGGAGCCTTGAGGCCCCATGAAGGTCAGACCCTGGCCCCTTGCCCAGCTCTGGGTCAGAGCGGAGCATGCAGGTCCCTGCCTCCTGCAGAGAGAACTCCCTCCATGGGGCAGAAGCCAGAGCAGCGAACCCTGGAGTGGAAGGCAGGGCAGTGAGCTGGGAACCCTGACCCAGCTGACCTTTGCAGATTTAGAAAGGGTCTGAAGAACAGCCATGAGACTGATCCCAGCCAGGAAGGAAGTGCGTCTCGGAAACCGAGACCTCCTGCTGGAGTGCTGCCCATACCCAGCACCCTTGGGCCTCCCCAGTGAGGGACCTCGCGCCTCTCGTGACCCTCGGGAGGTTGTAACCCTTCTAACCTCAAGACAGAAGCGTGAACGTCTGCGGCGGCTGTGGTTTAACAGTTAGTGCCAGAGAGAAGTCGCCCACGCGAGCCCTGCTGCGACTCACTGTCTGCACGTGCACCGCGAACATGGGGACTGCAGTCCCTCTGTCACCGCCGGCTCCTCGGCACCCAGCCAAAGCCACCCAGCGCCTGCCACGCTAGGTGAGTGACCTTTGTGTGCTCCGTGGCTTCTCTGAGCCTCCGTTTCTCATCCGCACAATAAAGGAAACCCCGGGTCCCCGTGTGCCATGGTGGTGATGGGCTCCGTGTGGTCCCCTACTCCGCAAACCCGAGCTGCCCGGAACCTGAGACTCGGGCATGGCCCCAGCCGTCAGCAAACTTCAGTCAGCGAGGGAGACAAAGTCCCTTGTGCCCCAGGAGGAGGAGAACAGAGCAGTATGTAGGGTGCCAGGGGAGCCCCCAGGGAGGCCTAGTCCAGTTTTGGGGGCACGAGAAGGGAAGTTGAAGCCCTGAAAAATGAGGAAGAATTTAGAACAAGAGAAGGAGACCCCAGGCCAAAGGGAACCGTGAAGGTGAGGGCTGGAAGTGTGACAGAGCACGGCGGTTTGGGGGCCTCCCCGGGGTTCAGGACAGGCCGGGGGAGGTAGAGACGCCGGCCCACACGATCCCAGCCAAGGAGTGTGGACTTGAGCCCAGGCAAGGTGCTGAAGCAGGAGAGAGCAATGATCTGATGTGAGTGTTAGAAAAATGACCCTGACCACGGGGTCAGGAAAGATCAGAGCATGTGAGCTGGATGCCCACAGACAGGCAGTAGGCCTTTGCTCATACAGGGGGGAGACCGTGGCAACTTTCAGGGTCACAGGTGACAGGAGCAGACCGATCCCACCAGCCAAGGCGGGGAAATGGGCAGGGGCTGTTGACATGCTCTGATGACACCCCAGAGAGATGGCCGCATGTGTGCATGATTCCAGCAGTCCCTACCGCTCCCCGGCAGGAGGTCACTGTTGCCTGGAGGGTCTGCTTGGGGCCCCTGGGCTCGGGATCTCCCCCGCTGTGCGGGATGTGAGGGATGTGTGTGTGCCTGTGTCCTCTCTGTTGCCCACGCCGCCTCCCCCAAGCTTGGCGAGTGTTCCCTCAAAGGCCACACACACCCCTGCACAAAAAAAATCTAGCTCTCTGCTAAGTTATGTTTTATGGAAGAGCATGTGGTGAACGCACTGCTCATGGGCCTGGGGAGTCACCCACAGCGGTTGCCGGGGAGCATGAGGGTGCCCCCACCTCCCTGTGAGTCCCTGCTGCCCCACTGCCCACCCCGGAACCCCAGGCCCCAGGGGGAGGGCTCGGTGGCCATACAGCTTGTAAACGTTAGCTTTCCTTTTCTTAAAAGCAGGCTACAAGAACAGCACGGCTACTAAGAGAGAGAGAGAGTGTGTGTGTGTGTGTGTGTGTGTGTGTGTGTGTGTGTGTGTGAAGGTTGCTGACCAAAACAGTAAAAGTGGCAGGACTGTGGTCATTTTTACTTTGCTGAACTGATTGACTTTTACAACAAGCTCTGTATCATTTTTATAATCAAACAAAGCAAGGACACAGCCACTCAGCCACCTTGGGTTTAGCTTTGCTCCAGAAGGGCTATAGGGTAGGAGCTAACCCCTGTGGACTAGGAACGGGCAGTGGGGCCACAGGCAGCCACCCCCTCCCAGGGCCCCACCGGGCCAACTGGCGCCAGTGGGGTTGGACTTGGACGGTGGGGAGGCTGAAAACCTGCCTAGCCCTCAGGCCAGGGGTCCCAGGGCTCCTCCAGCCCCACTGGCTCTCTTTTCCTCACCTTCTGGGAAGGGTGAGAGGATCACAGAGCCAGCCCGGGAACCCGCTTCTGAGAAGAAAGTGACCCTTCTTCTCCCTGTGACTGCCCTCCTCACTTCAAGGGGACAAGCACCCTG